TTCGAGTCCTGGTGGTGACAGTCAATTTTTTCTTCAGACTTTTCCCGTTTGTCTCTTTCCCTCAAACTAGTTAAGGTTTTATGACTTGGGGCTCCCCGCGTGCTAGAGTGTACGTGAAGTGTGTGGGTACAGTGAGGGCTGCGTCCCACCCGCCTGTGTGGATTCACAGGAAGTGTGAGCTACGAAGTCTGAAGAAAATGTTGAACAGTCTCTGCTGGGATGACGACTACACCATAGCTCAGTGGTTAGAGCATCGCTAGCTACAAGCGAGGGTCCCTGGTTCGAGTCCTGGTGGTGACAGTCAATTTTTTCTTCAGACTTTTCCCGTTTGTCTCTTTCCCTCAAACTAGTGAAGATCATTATTATTATTATTATTATTATTATTTCACCGTCCAATGGCAGAAGCCAATGCAAAGGAGGGGGCGTTAGCCAGCCATGGCAAGAGAAGAAAAAAAAAGAATGAAGGAAAGAAGATGATAATCGGAAGAAAATAATGCATCGGCGGGGTGAAATGTGTCACTATGTTGACCATGGTGGAGAGCGGCGAGATAAGCTAGCAAAAGAGGCGAGCGAGTCTACAACGTGGCATGACATTTAACATGGCCTATGAACGGTCTAATATTGGATATTGTCTTCATTTCCATGGGCAGCTTGAGCCAATACGAGTATGCAAAGAAGATAAGAGATTTGGTAAACATAGTTAACAAAGCTCTGGGAAGTACTATGCCATTGCGAGTGTCCTGTGCGAAAGTAAACCAATAATACTTGGTGAGATGTTCAGGAAAATGTTCAGTTTAATCAATGGACCAGAACGCATGACTGTCTCTGCGACAGGATGGAGATGTGGCTGGTGGAGGCCAAATTATATAGATCAGTAGAGGGGAAAAGAGTGGGTTTATGAAAAATAATTTTCAACACACGTTTATGATGTATTTTTAGTGTCTGTAAAGCAGATTTACTAAGCAGGGAATGCCAAGCAGTGGCGCCGTACAGAAAGATAGGAAGGAGGTTGCGTTTATAAAAGAGACAAATACATTCGGGGGACAAGTGGGAGCAGTGAGACATCAGGCAACCTACAGATTTGCTAACTTTGTTGCATACAAAATCTACGTGAGAATTCCAGGACAATTGCGAGTCAAATACAACACCCAAATACCTGTGCGTATCTACAATAGTAATATTAATTCCCGTAGCTATGCAGAAGACGTTACTTCAGTAACGTCTGGCGCTAGCCATGGTCCACACAGCTTTAATTTGGTGTTTGTTTGTGTGTTTGTGTCACGCCTGGCGCTATCCCGTATCTGTCCCGTACCGTACCGTACCATCAAACACAGCTGGCCACATACAGCTGGCCCCACTATTCAAATACGGCTTTCAAACGCAAGATCATAACGTGAAGCAACTTGGAAGAATGAGTATGAATGCGAAGTGTATGGGGGAATGTATGTAGGGCAATAGTGCGGGTTCGAATCCCAGGTAATGCCTGAAAAAAATAGGAAAATTAAAATTTTTATTAACATCCCTATTCTTTTTTTGCCGTCATCAAAGCGGTAGATGGTGTCGTATTAATCTCGACCGTACCTGTCCCGTACCGGTCCCGTACCTGTCCCGTACCGGTCCCGTACCTGTCCCGTACCTGTCCCATACCTGTCCCATACCTGTCCCGTACCGTACTGTACCGTACAATCAAAGACGGCTGGCCACAATGCTAATTCAAATATGGCTTTCAAATACAAGATCATAACGTGAAGCAACTTGGAAGAATTAGTATGTATGCGAAGTGTATCGGGGGGTGCATGCAGGGCGATAGTGCGGGTTCGAATCCCAGTTTATGTCTAAAAACAAAAAGTAGAAATTTATAAGAATTTATAACATCCCTATGCTTTTTTTGTCTAGGTCATCAAGGCAAAAAAGCATAGCGTAGGGCCCTGAGCTTCCAAGCTCTCTCGTAGCCGAATCAAGTCCGGGAAGGGTAAATGTGGGAGGGTGGTCTAGTTGAGGGAGAAAGACTACAGTCAACTTCGCTAATAACCACTGCGGATATAACGACAATTCGCGAATAACGACAGAATTTCAATGCCCAGAGCAAAGTCCCATCCCACTGGAATACATATAATTAGACTTCGGGTATAACGACACTTCGCGAATAAGGACACCTTTTTGATGCCCCGCCGAGTGTCGTTATAAGCGAAGTTGACTGTATTTCTGTTTTCAAGATATTGGGTTTCAGACGCCATGACAACATCCATTCAGAAACAACATTGATTCCATTCTGAAGCTTCGTACACAGGTTTGCAATGTCAGCGTCAAACTGAATGAGGGCCGTGTCATCAGCAAATAGTGACAAACCATCTATACAGTCAGGTAGATCGTTTATATACAACAAGAATAGTAGAGGCCCCAGTATAGATGACTGGGGGACTCCCGACTTCACAGGCAGTGGGTCTGAGAGTACCCCTTCGACTGACACGGATTGCGTTCTATCTCTTAAGAGAGCATGTCTGAGAATACCAAAGTATGTGTGCAAGTGGATCTCTCCGATTTCGCTCAAAATTTGCAGGTAGGTTCCCTTTGGGGTGTGGATCGATTGTGCAAAGCCCTTGAAAACGTTTCTGAAGGGAACCTTGAAATTTGCATACCCCTCAAAAATGGCCGAAATATCACATTATTTATGGGTCTAGAAACGAGTCACGCCACAGCGTATACGAACAAGCTATGAACAAAACTCCATCAAGCCAACATTGCCTCACCCACCCCCTGACGCCACAAATGATCGTCTTGAAAATAGCCAATTTATAAGCGCTGGCAAAACAGCCAGCTACGGCCTCAATTGGCCAGAACTATACACCGGCAGATTGTAGAACACCTCTTCTAGTGCTGAGGACATGTCCCTCATCTTCCTTTTGGGGTTTTATTGAAATAAACGTTTTTGAATTTTTCCACTCGACCATGCTAAAATACGGCCAAAGTCATACCTGCGCAGTAAAGCTCGCCCCTCCGCGACGTCTCTTCAGCAATTTCTACTCCAACACTACTCCCAAGGCCGCAGAACAAAGTGTATTGTTGGCTCTGACAAGGAAAAGCAGCGGTGATCACTTGTCACTCCAAACGACAAGCTTCTCCTTGCGCCACCAATAATTTTTATGCGACTGTTGATGCAAAAGCCACTGAAGGCATGAGCGCAGTTTTTGAATGTTATTGTAAAATGCACGGTGAGATCGTGTGCTCTGTGACGTAGGATGACGCTTCCTGGATCACGACACGCGGCCATCGATCGCGAACGTGCCTGGAACGCTACTAGGAACAGACCATGATGGCAGAGGTAAGATGAGCTGTATTTCCTGCTTGATCTGCTGAGAACTCCCACAAACTGTGCTAGGAGTGTTGCAATGGCAGCAAGCCGTTGAAATATGCCCCCCTTACAGCATGGAGAGGTATTTATCTTTCACATTTACCTCCTGCAATCCCGAACATAGTCCAACAGTACAAGTCCCTTGTTTTCATGTCGATGCTCGACAAAAGATGCTAGCTCGGTCGGTTTGTGTTGACTGGAAAGCGAGCAGCACTGGCTGCACGAACTTGTTGCGTGAACTGCATGAGAGATTTCTTACGTCATAAAAAATGTGATTTCATCATCATTTCACTGGTCTTCGACCTACAAGGTCCGGGAAAGTCCCGGTTTGTAGGTCCACAACACGGTCAGCGTGTTCTTGACTTGAGCGCAATAACAACACAGGTGTGATCACTTCCAGACCAACGGGCGTTCAAAGCGAGTAACAAGCGCACTTGACGAAGGGGACTCTGACATTTCGTGAGTCGTGATACACGCGACTTGGCAGTATTGCGTCACAAGGCACGTGATTTCACCGTGCCTCTTAATTCTTGTAGTAAAATTCAAGAATTGCGCTCATGCCTTCAGTCACTTTTGCATCAACAGTCGCACAAAAAATTATAGGTGGCGCAAGGAGAAGCTTGTCGTTTGGAGTGACAAGTGATCACCGCTGCTTTTCCTTGTCAGAGCCAACAATGCACTTTGTTCTGCGGCCTTGGGAGTAGTGTTGCAGTAGAAATTGCTGAGGAGACAACGCGGAGGGGCGAGCTTTACTGCGCAGGTATGACTTTGGCCGTATTTCAGCATGGTCGAGGTGGAAAAATTCAAAAACGTTTATTTCAATAAAACCCCAAAAGGAAGATGGGGGACATGTCCTCAGCGCTAGAAGAGGTGTTCTACTATCTGCCGGTGTATAGTTCTGGCCAATTGAGGACGTAGCTGGCTGTTTTGCTAGTGCTTGTAAATTGGCTACTGTATAGCAGGACATTTTCGGACGGAATTTATTTTCGTACGATTTCGTACACGGCCTCTTTTGTACTAAAATTAATTCCGTACTAAAATTTGTTCATGTGAAATTATGTACACTATACATGGGTACTGCTTGCGAACACGTGCATTTAGCATGCAGCACCGTACAAAAATAAAACCCGGACGAAAGGTCGAAATTCGGCTTTGTCCGAAAATATTTCCGTCCGAAAATTTCCTGCTTTACAGTATTTTCAAGACGATCATTTGTGGCGTCAGGGGGTGATGGACCTCGTCTTCTGGGATCCTGGCGTGGCTAAGCGGTACTGCTCCAGGAACTCTTCTAAGGTGAGGCAATGTTGGCTTGATGGAGTTTTGTTCATAGCTTGTTCGTATACGCTGTGGCGTGACTCGTTTCTAGACCCATAAATAATGTGATATTTCGGCCATTTTTGAGGGGTACGCAAATTTCAAGGTTCCCTTCAGAAACTTTTTCAAGGGCTTTGCACAATCGATCCACACCCCCAAAGGGAACCTACCTGCAAATTTTGAGCGAAATCGGAGAGATCCACTTGCACACATACTTTGGTATTCTCAGGCATGCTCTCTTAACTGAAATATGAAACATTAGCCCTAGAATGTGCAGTAGTGGTGTCCCCTATAATCAGCAGGCAACCTCTCACCCTGATCCCACTTCACTAACCGGGGGTTACTGCCAGGTAGAACGTACGATCCGACAGTCCACTGTATGGATGGTGCTGGAACACCCTTGGCAGCACATGGCAGCACTATGCTACTGCCAACCACCGGGTCTATGTCATACGGCACTATCTTGAAGATGGGAGCAACTGTAAGCAGAGCAGAGAAAACAAACCCAAAATTATCTATCAAATAGAAAACCCAATTACAACCACAGCACGAGCAATAATTCAATGATACTGGTAGTTGGAAAAGCTGAGTTCTCTTCAAATTCTGCCTGTCTATCTATGAATTCTGATGGGGTGATGGTCCTAGAGTACAGCATCAAGTTAGAGCCATCAGCTAATGTCAGCATGTGCTGAGCCGGAGGAGGTGAGCATTTGTAGCAGTAGCACACATGGCTAACCATTGACCATACACACCCTGCAGTTGATTAGCCTAACTCCACAATCACATATTATATGTACAATAGCACTCCAAGGAGGCATCTAGCAATTGGTATCGTACAGCAATGTAGTTCCCGGAGTTGGCTAAATAGACACGTCTACGGATATGTGATGTGTAGGTAACTGTTACCCTCCCCATACCTTCCTGCACTCCCCATGATCCCCTACCCCACACACAATCCCACTCCCCCTGATCCCCTACCCCACACACACTCCCACTCCCCCTGATCCCCTACCCCCACACACTCCCACTCCCCCTGATCCCCTACCCCACACACACTCCCACTCCCCCTGATCCCCTACCCCCCACACACTCCCACTCCCCCTGATCCCCTACCCCACACACACTCACACTCCCCCTGATCCCCTACCCCACACACACTCGCACTCCCCCTGATCCCCTACCCCACACACACTCCCACTCCCCCTGATCCCCTACCCTACACACTCCCACTCCCCCTGATCCCCTACCCGGTCCCCACACACACTCCCACTCCCCCTGATCCCCTACCCCACACACAATCCCACTCCCCCTGATCCCCTACCCCACACACACTCCCACTCCCCCTGATCCCCTACCCGGTCCCCACACACACACTCCCACTCCCCCTGATCCCCTACCCCACACACAATCCCACTCCCCCTGATCCCCTACCCCACACACACTCCCACTCCCCTGATCCCCTACCCCACACACAATCCCACTCCCCCTGATCCCCTACCCCACACACACTCCCACTCCCCCTGATCCCCTACCCCACACACACTCCCACTCCCCCTGATCCCCTACCCGGTCCCCACACACACACTCCCACTCCCCCTGATCCCCTACCCCACACACAATCCCACTCCCCCTGATCCCCTACCCCACACACACTCCCACTCCCCCTGATCTCCTGCCCCACACACACTCCCACTCCCCCTGATCCCCTACCCCACACACACTCCCACTCCCCCTGATCTCCTACCCGGTCCCCACACACACACTCCCACTCCCCCTGATCCCCTACCCCACACACAATCCCACTCCCCCTGATCCCCTACCCCACACACACTCCCACTCCCCCTGATCCCCTACCCCACACACAATCCCACTCCCCCTGATCCCCTACCCCACACACACTCCCACTCCCACTCCCCCTGATCCCCTACCCCACACACACTCACCGCCGGCTGGGAGGGCGACCTGCCGGCTGCAGACACCCCCATGTAGACTGTAGTGCACTGCACTAGCACTTGAGTCGAGATGGTGGAGTACAACCCATATTCTAGGGGTAGGTATGTACAGTACAGTACGTAGCACTGGCTACTCAGGCTCAGTGCTAGCTCTTCACTCAAGATCAAGCTCAAATGCACTTGAGTATGCACTTGAGTACGTCAGTAAAATGTAACAGGTTCGCTGCTTCTGGTGGTGTACACGGCTGTGGCTAGGCTGGGTCTTGTCAGATGACCAATGTACACTGCATGCAAACATGACCTTGGTGAACACAGTCATGATCCATGCTCATGTAGCTGTTTGCTTCCTTTTTCATATTTTGTTTATTTTAATGCCTATAATCACATTGTCACAACTGTCTGATGAATGCCCATAATTGGACGAAGCGAAAGGAGATACAAGCTGCAATGAAAGATTTGTAGTGGTGTGTGTGTGTCTGTGTGGATACGTGACTGATGGCGGGGGTCTGGGGGCGCAGCTAGCAACTAGAACGTTGGCCGGCTGGCATAAAATCCTGGCTAGACCTCTGCTCACACTCCCCCTGATCCCCTACCCCACACACACTCCCTTCCCCTGATCCCTTACCCCACACACACTCCCATTCCCCCTGATCCCCTACCCCACACACACTCCCTTCCCCTGATCCCCTACCCCACACACACTCCCATTCCCCCTGATCCCCTACCCCACACACACTCACACTCCCCCTGATCCCCGGTCCCCACACACACTCCCATTCCCCCTGATCCCCTACCCCACACACAATCCCACTCCCCCTGATCCCCTACCCCACACACAATCCCACTCCCCCTGATCCCCTACCCCACACACACTCACACTCCCCCTGATGCCCTACCCCCCCCCCCCACACACACACACACTCCCCTCCCTTCCCCACACACACTCCCCCCTCCCCCCCCCCCCCCCAGTCACATCAGGTTCACCAAACTGTCGGGCATGGCCCATGATCAGGCGAAATCATGAACCGATGGGCCCTCCACGAACATTTGGTGAACCTGAAGCTACTTTTTCAACACAGTAACCAGGTGTGAGTGTTTGGTTTGAGAAAAGTAATCTGATAATAGTTTACGACAATGTCATTGTAACTCACCTCTGATTTAGGATTACCAGTGACGGGGCACGGCAGCACCGTGGGTGAGTTGGCTGTGACAGTGACGATGTCTACAGAGGGACCGTCTGGACGAGGTGGTTCTGAAGCCCAGGAACAATACAAGCAGTGTAAAATCCACAGGCATTCAAATCAACAACATAACTACAGTTCTAGTTGCACAACTCACGAGAACAGTACCTGTACTGTATGCCTATCATATTTTCCAAAATAAGAAAAGGCATAGACAGTATTTGTGACTCTTTGATCTACACACTGTGGATAAAATTGTCTATGGGGTACACCTAGTCAGCCTTTAGAAGAACTGCCATCCGTTCTTGTAAATCACTACTTTGAGAAATGCTAACTTTCCTGCAAATGAACCAGCAGCACTCACTGCAGCTTCAATAGAGACCAGTAATGACGGGATATATACATTTTCCCCACAACCATCTCAGAATAGTGCTGGTCGAGTCATGTAGGTACACTGGTTAATCATTGTTGACATTTCGTGTTACACTAAGCTCAAACGGAGATGAAATATCAGCATAATATACCATTCAAACATTTATTTGTTTTGCCTGGTAATTTCACATACTCGCATTGCTCCCACATGATCTTACAGAGAACAGTCAAGTTGTAGTCCTTGCGAGCGTCTCCGTGTTTGTTGCGTGCCAGACACACGTAGATGTCGAAGTCGGCGACGACAGTGCTGATTACGCACAGTGTATCTAACACAGCATACACACACGTAAACACACAGAGAGCAAGAACATATTTCACTGTTTACGCGTATCATTTTCACAGTTTCATGATGACTGTTTCATGGTAGTAGGTCGCCATCAATTGTTCTATTTATCGCATTGTTAAAACTCCATTCGACGAAACGCCTTTTTGTTCACGATTAGTTGTTCATTTGTGCTGATATAAGTGTATTTGTGGTGTGAATCTGATGTGTAGTTGTGTGATGATGGACAATTGCAGGGTGCCTAGAGTAACACACTCCCTGCCGATCTGCGGCACCAGCTAGCTGAGACTAAGAGTACATTGCTCCCAACAGTGTGCAACTGCCTGCATAACCTCTATAAAGTGCTGCGACGGATCACGAGACATGGCAAACAGTGCAAAGTCACCACAAGAGAGTTGAACCCAAAGCAGTGTTTCGTAAAGCCCTGTATCCATCATGCACATGGTGCAAATAATGCGTACAGGTTCGTCATGTGGTGTAAAGTTCTGCCATTTCAGATCCCAATAGCTGGAGTTGCACACACTCGGCTTTCATGTACTCTTGCTGAGACCAAGAACAGTCTGATGTTCACCATTCGGTGCTCAGCTTGACTTGATCTGTCCAACAATTACATCAGTCACAGGATTTTTATACTGTTCCAGTGAGACCCAGGCACACCGCATTTTCCGCATCCGTAGGAACACCACCACCATCAAGAATCAATCCGCAGATGCAGCTCCTAAAGCGGTGGGCAGTGAGTAGATCAGACCCACCACAAAGTGGTCAAAGACAGACAATCCCATTCACAGGATATGATCCAGAAACATGCTGCCCACAGATAGGCAGGCACGTCCATTGACGCCCAAAACGTGTGTCTGATGCTCCGATAAAAAGCAGGACGCTATCAGGTATTTTTCCTTCGTTTGAAAGGAGAACAACTCACCGTTGGGATGTATGATCCACTTTTCGTCGATGACCAGCAGACGGCATAAGTTCCTCTGCCATACCACTGATAGATGGACAGTGGGATGAGGTGTGGCACATGCTCTGTTGCTCATCTGCTCCCATAGATCAGCACACATTGTACACACTGACTAGCATGGAACATGGCTTGTGTCTCCTACCTTCAACAACCAGCTCAATGGTATGTGATGCTGAACCTGCTGTGCAGGTTTTACAGTCCTCTGTGCTCTAGCCGGGCCTGTGCAGTGATACAACATATTGATAAAAATGAGGTGCAGGGCAAATACATGCAGTAGAATTAAAATAAAATTTACCCTGTGGGCAGCAGGAAAATGTATTTAGAATCCTAGGTACATCTTACACCAACATACATGCGTAGGGATCAACAGCGGACCTCTGCACTCTGGACAATGCCCGTACTAAGCATGTGTATGTGTGTCTTATCACGATACATACTAAGGGAGTTCAACTGTGTTTAGAATTGAGTCAAGGTATGAAATTACTGAGTCATGATAAAGAAATCCAAAATGTTTGGCATTATAGATATTATCTAACTTGTGACATGGGGCTGTGGAAAGGAAAGTTTGCTGCCATTTCTCCAAACAGGAGCAGTTCTCCACAATGGGGTGCTGTCCTCAGATCCCACACACTGACACAGCACACAGCGCTTGCGAAGAAAAATTCATTGATAGGAATTTGCCCACTCTGAAGACACACGACAAGCATCATCAGTTTGGAGTGTAATGCAACGTTAGATGCAAATTTTCTGCAGAATGATCTTAAAAAATATAATTTATCCAATGAAGGTTAACTCAGTGATGGAGTGAATGGGATTTCGGTCTTTGACCAATTTGTGGTGGGTCTGATCTACTCAGCTCCCACCGCTTTGGACCTGCATCTGCGCCTTGATACTAGAGGGTGGTGGCGTTCCTACGGATGCGGAAAACTCAGCTTCCAGCCGAGTCTCACGCGAATCGTGAAATTTTTTAACCCAGTACTTTTAATTCATGTCATTGCAGCCTGGGCCTGATAGAGGGTGCTATACCTCAGAGTTAAAGTTAGTAACAAGCATTATCCTGTACTTGTGTGTTCATTCACGTAACACCTTACCGCTGATATCTGGAGTCCTCTGGTGGGAATCTGAGACATGTAGCGTTCATCATAGACACTACTCTGCCACGTGACCGTTGGTGTCGGCTTGCCAATGACCTCGCAGGGCAAGAATGCAGGAGTGCCGCGGAGAACAACAACTTGAGTCTGGGTCGTGATAATAGCTGGTGGAACTATAGGCAACATAGCATGGAACGATTGTGGAAGGGACAACACAGATGTTAAGGTCATCCACACCTGTCAATCAGACTGACTTCTTCTCATTCGCAGAAACACCATCACCCTCAATGGGGTCAAGGCGAAGACGACAGCAAATCATTTCATAGCAATTATAGTGCACACACTAGACCCATACAGTCTACATTAACAGATAACGGTCTAACACAAAAAATCAAAATGGTAGAATTGCATCAAGGGGGCGGGGTGCTGCACAAATCTTACCACCATTGCAAAGTAAAAATCCAAAATACAGCTTCAGGAAAGCACACGCCAAGCAACACAACTTTCTACGAATACCATAGTTGTGTAGGCAAGTACTGTTTGTAGACTGCCCAGTGAACCAGCAAGGACAACACACACACACACACACACACACACACACACACACACACACACACACACACACACACACACACACACACACACACACACACACACTACATTCTATGAAGAACAGTCTGTTACTGAAAGTTACCTTGCACAATTAGAACAGTGGTGCTGTTAGCCGTTCCAGCATCATTGTTTGCCAGGCATGTGTAACTGCCTTCGTCGGCGACAGACAGACGAGACACGGTCAGCGTGTTGCGGTTGACGCGCACACGAGACGGGTCCACTGGCCTGTTGTTGAACAGCCAAATTGTCACCGGGTCTGGCTTTCCGCTGGCTACACATAGCAGACGGAATTCACTGTCCACAGATCTGACGTAGAGAGGGTCTGGCGCCACCACAATCTCGGGTGGCACTGGAACACAAAACAACATCAGCACAGCAGCAGCATGGTGATGGTCAATACACTCAATCGGGGGGACAAAACTGCTTCATCCTTTGTGGAATCGTCAGCACAACACAGAGAAAATGAAGCCGAATCTGATAGCAATGAAAAGCCAGATTTATACCCGGCCCAAACCCATCTTGCCAGAGTGCTCAAACTGACAAGTTTATGTCAGCATACAGCAAACTAGCGCCTGATTGAATGTGGATGAGAGAACTATGTCATATGTCTTCTTGTGAGCTGGAGTAGATTCACTACTTCGATAGGACTTCATCTCAAAGAGCTTACCCATTTGCCTGGCATTAGCTACATGTGCCCGGTCTGTGCATGAGATCTAGCAATGCCTTTTAAATCGGTAGCTTAATCAGGGGCGTCGGAAGGTATTTTAGTGTGGTACGGTCAGCCATCTGAAGTACAATTGACTCGTGGGGGAGTGGTGGATGAGCCGAAAATTTTGGAATTTTAGATCCCAGATCAGTGTATTTTGTTGACTCACGGGTATCTGGGGCAAAAAGTGGTACGGTCAATACCGTTTTGACCGTACCGTGTGCGACGCCCCTGTTAATGAGGATGAAGTGTCCGAGCGTATTGATACTGACTGTGTGAATGAATGGTGCACATACTACTCTCAGGAAAGTAAGCACAGTCAAACCTCTTTAGGACGAACATCAAGGGACCGATGATATTTGTTCGCAATAACGGGAGTTCTTCTTATCCATATGTTTCACCCAGTGAATACACAGGGTTTTATCCGATACAGTTACGAATACTAGTTCTTCTTAGGCAAACATTTGTCTTATTAGTGTTCTTCCTAACGAGGCTTCACTGTATAGACCATTGCAGCGTACACCAGTCTACCAGAACTAGTGTATACACATGTGACACTGAACATGTACATCTATACTAGACCCACTTACCATGGATGGTGAGAAAGCCTGTACTGCTCCTACGACCAGCCGGGTTGGAAGCTACACATGTGTATGAGCCCTCGTCACCTAGCTCCACACGGCTAATGTTCAAGATACCGCTGGGAAGACTGGTGATGCGCGTCGTGTTGCGAATACGATCCTGCCCGTCCCACCACGTGATCTGAGGCGTGGGCGAGCCATCAGAGAGACAGGTGAGAATGGCCCTTTGCCCAACGATGGCAATCACATCACTGACACTGGTGAACGACGGTGCAGCTGCAAACAACACATAAACAAACACAGATTGGCAGTAAGCCATTACCCACTTGTTGTTCAAAACTGCTAACTACAACAAGACAGGAGGGTGATTTTCACCATGCTTCAAAGCAGGTTTACTAAACCCGCGTTTTGCCAGTGAGATTTTTCTTTACATTTTCACCAGCATAAAAGCCCGAGTTGTGTATTGAGGTATCTGCTCTGTATACAGAAAACATACCAGCATACATTAACTAAACCAAACGGCGAGCAGAGCGGGCCTTTTCAGTTTCACAAGTAGTAACATTCCAGCATTACATGGAAGACATGCAACACCCCAGAGTTCTGCACGGTGGGAAGGTTCACTATCACGTATTAATTGGCAATGAAAGCAAAGCATACAGCAGAGATACTGATAAAGAGGATATCCACTTTGAAAAGGTTCTCTACACATAAATCAAGCTATTCCAAATTTCACTTGAAAACACCGCCATTCCGGCAACAGGCTCTCAGCTGCACCAAATAAATAACTTTGCCAATATTTCGCCCATTGGGCATCATCATGCCCTGATGATGCCCAATGGGCGAAATATTGGCAAAGTTATTTATTTGGTGCAGCTGAGAGCCTGTTGCCGGAATGGCGGTGTTTTCAAGTGCAAGGAATACGCTGCAATGGAGTTTGGGAATTCTGAAGAAACGTATTCCAAATTTGGCCACATTAAGCCTTTAGACATGCTATCCCTGCTCAGGATTGCTGCACTACCAGACTTACTCATCAGTAGGATGTAGCAGTCCCTAGTGTCCGGTCGGCCTACACCATTCTCAGCCACACACGTGTAGCGTCCATCATCGCCCGGCAAAGCTTGGCGCACTCGCAGCAGACCATTGCTGAAGACTCGCATGCGGGACGTGCTTTCGATTTTAATCCCGTCTTTCTGCCAGCTAAGGCATATGGAGGCAAGGCAAAGCACAATGGAATACAACAGATGCAGTATTGCCCATCAGTGCAGTCACCAAGCTGTCTCACACCCAACACTGCAATCCAAAACACACTGCAGTAACGCAACAAAAAGCAAGAACTTTGAACTAGCAGTTTACTGGTATTGATAATATTTGGTCTTCCAAAACCTTTGTTCTACTTAGTGTACTCTTCGAGAGGAAGAAAGGCTTGCATCTTCTCAGTGCATTACCTTACCTGATTGTTGGTGTTGGGTCCCCTGATGCTCTACACTGTAGCTGGAAGCCATTCCCTGGCACGACACTGGTGTTGCATTGACCTTGGGCAGGTTGTGTGATGCGCGGTGGCTCTGCAAGGAGTGACGGACACGGAGCGCATGATTAAGTATGAACGGGACTACTTGATCGAGGGGAAGGGGGGGGGGGGTAAGTACCAGACTCCCTGAGAACCACACAATGCTGCTATCACCCAGCACTGGATCATGGACCATCCTATACTGAGTACAATGTCATAGTGAAGCAAGTCTAGTATCCTGAGCGAGCAGCCAATTCACTATAATCTTCATTGGGAAAAAGTTGATGTTAGCATCACTCCAATTTCGGACCTTTCGGTGATCCTGTTTCTACTGTATTGTAAGATTACACATAACAGCGTGGGGAAAAAAGGGAAATGGGTAGCAAAAAGAAAAAGAACAACTATGGGTGCATGGAAGCAACATGAGCCGTGCTGGTGACGTGCCGTATGCTCCACTATCCCGTCCTCCCAAGGAGAAAGCACACAGCATGAACAATGGATAGGGTGGAGGGAAAGGTGGAAAGGCTTGCCAGAGAAAGTGAGAGGGAGAGATCGAGAGCGACCAAAGAGAGAGAGAGAGAGAGAGAGAGAGAGAGAGAGAGAGAGAGAGAGAGAGAGAGAGGGAGAGAGAGAGAGAGAGAGAGA